CTCCTTGCCGGAGACCTCGCCCACACTGCTGTGGACGGGGAAGGTTGGCGACGCGTCGCGTTTCCGGGTCTGGGGTGCTCGTGCCTTTGTTCGCGATACCACCGCGGACAAGCTCTCCCCTCGCGCCATTCCTTGCGTCTTCCTTGGCTTTGTCTCTGACGCCCCTGGCTGGCAGTTTTACGACCCCGCCTCGCGCCGTGTCTTTGCGTCCCAGGACGTCACCTTTGACGAGTCAGTCCCCTTTTACCGCCTCTTCCCCTACCGCACTGCTCCTCGCCCTCTCCCGCCACTCTTTCTTGCCCCAGGTCCTCCCCAGGTAGACCCCCTCCTCGCACCAGGTCCTGCTCCTTCCGGTGTTTCTCAGGTAGACCCTCCCGTCCCTGCGCCTGTTGAGGTCACTGGTGACTCCGGTCCTGCTGGCGGTGGTGTTGGCCCTGGGGGTACGGAGCCTGGAGGTGCTGCGCCTGCGCGTGAGGAGCCTGGAGGTCCTGCGTCTGGGGGTGTTGCGTCTGGGGGTGCTGCGTCTGGGGGTGCTGAGCCTGCGTGTGCGGAGCCTGGGGGTACTGAGTCTGGGGGTGAGTCGCCTGAGGGTTCTGAGACTGCTGTTACGCGGTCTCCTTGGCGTAGCCGTCTTCGTCCGCGTGTGCCTCTCACCTCCCAGCAGTTGCACGACTGGTACGGTCGCCGTCAGCGTCGCGCTTCTGCACCCCAGGGCTCTACTGCTGGGGGTTCTTCTGCTGGCGTCACTGGAGCTGGGAGTGGTGCTGGTCCTTTGCCTGGTGGAGGTCCTGGTGTCGCTGGTCCCGGAGGTGCTCGTACTGGGGGTACTGGAGCTGCTGGGGCTGACGGTGGTGTGTCTCAGGGTGCTACTGCTGGTGGCACTGCGGTTGGAGACCCTGGGACTGGAGGTGCCGGTTCTGGGGGTGCTGCACCAGGTGGGGCTGGTGCTGAGGGTTCTGGAGCTGCTGGAGGTGCTGGAGCTGCTGAGGGTGCTGGGGCTGCTGGCGGTACTGGAGCTACTGGAGGTGCTGCTGCTGAGGGTACTGGAGCTGCTGGAGGTGCTGGAGCTGCTGAGGGTGCTGGAGCTACTGAGGGTGCTGGAGCTGCTGGAGGTGCTGGAGCTGCTGAGGGTACTGGAGCTGCTGGAGGTGCTGGAGCTGCTGAGGGTGCTGGAGCTGCTGAGGGTGCTGGAGCTGCTGGAGGTGCTGGAGCTGCTGAGGGTACTGGAGCTGCTGGAGGTGCTGGAGCTGCTGAGGGTGCTGGAGCTGCTGAGGGTGCTGGAGCTGCTGGAGGTGCTGGAGCTGCTGAGGGTGCTGGAGCTGCTGGTGCTGGTGGCACTGCACAGCCGCGCCTGTTCTTTGCTCCGCCATCTCCGCCGTCTCTGCCACCGCCTGACTCCGTGCTTCGCCAGGTTCTTAGCCTCCCGTCGTCTACTGGTCTTCCGTTACAGCCTGGCTCACCTCTGCCTGCTCCTTCTCCTTATGCTGAGCAGACAGGGGGCCTTGCTGAGCGTCGTGAGCCTGCGTTGCGTCCTGTCTCACCTGTTCGTTCTGGTCGTTCCAGTCGTCGTGTTCCTCGTCAGCGTCAGCCGGCTGTCCCCGGCCCTTCCCTTGTCGTCCGTCGTCCTTCTTCTCCGCCGCCACGTCTTCACCTGCCGTCTCCGCCTGCGTCCTCTCTACCTGTCGTTGCTGACCCTGAGTCTGACCGGTTTCGTGCTGAGCACCCTACTGTCACGCGTCTGCTAGCCACTGTTGTCGCCGACCCGTCGTTTGAGTCTGCTACTGCGTCTGCCTTAGTCGCTGAGCTTGTTGACTTTGCTGCTGCCTGTCGTCTAGACTACGTCGCTAGTCTTGTTGCTGAGTCTGAGTCTGTCTGTCCTCCGTCCATCGGGGGTGAGTGTGCTCTTGGCACGGACGTCCTTGAGGACAGGCAAGAGGACCTTGAGTGTCTTGTAGCCGCTGCGCCTCATCTCGTGGCCATGCTGCTTGCCCCTGAGGGAGACCCGGATGCACCAGACATCCCGACTCCGCGATCGTACGCTGAGGCGATCGAGGGTCCCTACTCCTCTCAGTGGCAGACAGCCATGGACGCAGAGATGGCATCCTGGCAGTCCACAGGCACCTACGTCGACGAGGTTCCCCCTCCTGAGGCGAACATCGTCAATGGCATGTGGATTTTCAGGGTGAAGCGGCCGCCAGGTTCTCCGCCTGTCTTCAAGGCTCGTTACGTTGCTCGAGGTTTCAGTCAGTGAGAGGGAGTTGACTTCTTCCAGACCTTCTCCCCCACCCCGAAGATGACCACTCTTCGGGTGCTGCTACACGTAGCCGCTCAGCGTGACTACGAGCTTCACTCTCTTGACTTCAGCACAGCTTTCTTACAGGGCAGCCTACACGAGGAGATCTGGCTGCACCGCCCACCTGGCTTCACTGGGTCGTTCCCTCCTGGTACCCTGTGGAGCCTCCGGCGGCCAGTCTATGGTCTGCGCCAGGCGCCACGTGAGTGGCACGACACTTTGAGGACGACTCTTGCGGCTCTTGGGTTTGCCCCGTCGACTACTGACCCGTCGCTGTTTCTACGCACCGACACTTCGCTGCCGCCGTTCTACATCCTCGTGTACGTCGACGACTTGGTCTTTGCCACTGCTGACACTGAGGCTCTCGCCCTGGTGAAGTCGGAGCTACAGAAGAGACACACGTGCACAGATCTGGGTGAACTGCGCAGCTATCTTGGCTTGCAGATCACCCGGGACAGAGCACGCCGCACCATCACACTGACTCAGTCACACATGGTGCAGCAGGTCCTTCAGCGCTTCAGCTTCACCTGGTCCTCAGCACAGCCCACTCCTCTGGCTACAGGTCACTCGCTCTCAGCTCCACCTTCGGACGAGTCCGTAGAGCCGAGTGGTCCTTACCCAGAGCTAGTGGGCTGCCTCATGTACCTAATGACCTGCACTCGTGCTGACCTTGCGTACCCTCTTGGCCTTCTCGCTCGCTACGTGGCTCCTGGTCGGCACCGAAAGGTGCACATGAATGCTGCTAAGAGGGTACTACGCTACTTGTGCAGTACATCGGGCATGGGGCTCGTGCTTGGAGGACGGGGTGACGTTGTCCTCACTGGTCACTCGGACGCCTCTTGGGTTGACGACCAGGCTACGCAGCGGTCGTCACAGGGTTACACCTTCAGCCTTGGCTCTGGTTCAGTTTCTTGGCGTTCTACACGCTCGTCTTCAGTTCTCGGCTCCAGTTGTGAGGCTGAGATCTACGCCACAGCCATGGCTGCACAGGAGCTTCGCTGGCTCACCTACCTGCTGACTGACTTGGGAGAGCGGCCTCGTTCTCCTCCAGTGTTGTACGTCGACAACAAGGCCGCCATTGCCTTGTGTCAGGAGCACAGACTGGAGCACAGAACGAAGCACATCGCCCTGCGTTACTTCCTTGCTCGAGAGTTGCAGCAGCGTGGCCAGCTTCGTCTTGCTTACGTGGCCACTCGGGCTAACACTGCTGATATATTCACCAAGGCACAACCGTCTGGTGATCATCAGCGTTTCTGTACTTTGTTAGGCCTTGTGCCCATGCTTCCTCACTTGCTGTAGACTTTGTTTGTGCTGTGATCTATATATCTATACCTGCATGTTTGTTCTTGCTAGGTAGAGATCACTGTACTGTTCTTGTTGCTTATATACCTCTGCATGTGGACTGGCCTTGTGGCCGTTTGCTTGTGCTCAGTGTGTGTGGTGACGTTGTGATCCACCCTGAGCTGTGTTTTGTTCCTTCTCTTGACTGGTCTTGTGACCATTGCTTGCTCTGGCTATCCCCTATTTCGCCTATGGGGGTGTGTCAAAAGATATGCTTGTTATTATCTAGGCTGTATTCGGGTTAGCCTTAGAGGGTACACAAACAATCTCGACACTTTAGTCTTGTACCCCAATCTTGACCTAATCAATCATTCCCTATGACTTAGTCTCAACACTCAGGCCAGCATGGGGACCCTCGGTCCCCTCCCCCCCTGGGGGACGGCTCCCAGGCCAGCATGGGGACCCTCGGTCCCCTCCCCCCCTGGGGGACGGCTCTCGGGCCAGCATGGGGACCCTCGGTCCCTTCCCCCCCTGGGGGATGGCTCTCAGGCCAGCATGGGGACCCTCGGTCCCCTCCCCCCCTGGGGGACGGCTCTCGGGCCAGCATGGGGACCCTCGGTCCCTTCCCCCCCTGGGGGACGGCTCTCAGGCCAGCATGGGGACCCTCGGTCCCTTCCCCCCCTGGGGGACGACGGCTCTCGGGCCAGCATGGGGACCCTCGGTCCCCTCCCCCCCTGGGGACGGCTCTCGGGGCAACGTTGCGACTCGCGTTTCTAAAAATACTTGAACCCAATAGGAATAGGATTCGGTTTGGGAACGGAGCAGCCCTAAACGCCTGGCGAGTTGTGTTTAGGGTTGATTCATCCGAAAATGCATCCAAGTTCATTTTGGGTATTATCTCTTTTGGGCGGGAGTTTCATCTGTGACCATTTGCGGTATTTTTTTCCCAGTTGATTGTAACTGATTCCGTGAAACGTTTTATCAAACAAGAGAAAACACCCTTTGCAGTGACCATACCCGCTTTTTTTTTACCAAACATATTATCGAGACCCTTGTTGATTAAGAGTGGCATATTTTCCCTATTACTAAGGTCCCGAATTCAAGAAGTGTACAGTTGCACAGCTAGTGCACACTTCCTCAATCATTCAACAGAACTGGAGCCCTTCATTATGATCACCTGAACCATCAGCGGCTGATTGATGCACAGCTGGCACAAACTCACTGCTTTGCCCTCACAAAGCGGTCCTCCGCCAAACGGGACTCACTTTTTGGAGTTACCGCAGGCCGCTTCTTCCCATTCCTCGTCATTGACGGAAACCGCCACAGTCCCACACCCGGCGAAAATGCTTTAGGTGTCGCAAACGGGTAACCAGAGCCACCCTTCGGCGTAGTTCCCATGGGTGTGAACACCTTCGGTGTGAATCCCTTACCGAAGGATAGCCCCCTAGGAGTCAACGCGCTGAACATGTCAGAAAACATGTCTTTAAAACCCCCATCCCCATTAGGCGATCCGTTCTTCCCTTTACCCTCTCCGTGAATCCCAGCTCCCGACTTTTCCGCAGAGCTTTTGTCTGCAGGCGAGCCGTTATCGGAACTGACATGTGGCGTGAAGATATCGGCAGAGTCTAATACTTTGTGCATCCACGTGTAGCCGTGTCGTTGGCTAGGATGCTCCGGGACCTTGATGGTGACGTCATCATCCCCTTGCAGATACATAGGCTGCTCCAGATCCGCCGCCGTGAATCCCGAGGCGAGTGATGGCGTGGCGACAGCAGCAGCGCACGCGCCGCCAATGGCGCCGCCAGTTGCGCCGCCATTTACGCCAGCATTTGGGCCGACAGTGTCAGTGGAAACCATTTGAGGACTGCGAGGAACTTTCCAGGTTCCCGCAACTGCCGGAGCGCACTGAGACTCAGCCATGCTTATGTTCTCATAGCTTGCCGACGATAATTTCTCGAACGCGCTGTTGCTGTTGCCGTTGCAAGCACCAGGTAGGTCCGTGTTGCTGCCGTGCTGCGACTGGAATCCCCCGAATCTCCCGCTCTCCTCCGCATCCATCGTGCTCGCGCCGCTCCCCGAAACGAACCTTCCCGAATCCTCCACCGAAGAGTCGACGAAAGCCTCCGATACAAGCTGCACCGACGCAGTCACGTCGTCGCTTCCGGATTTGGCGGACCGATCCCCGTCGTCGATTATAATCGCGTCCATCATCGTGTTTAGCAGCATGCGCTCCTCGTCATCAGCACATCCTTTATAATCACCACCGGTCGTGCCGCTCTCGACCTCGTCTTTCGCGAGGAGAAGATCGACGAACCGCTGGCCGCACTCGTCGCCGCCACCCATCGCCGGTGCAGAAGCCGCGCCCGGTACAGTCATCTGCTTCGTTTGAATCACACTGTTGACAGCATCGCAATCGTCCGTGACGATCTGTCCCTTCGCCATAGTAACATGCTCCGCGAAGGCCCCGAGCGTCAGCGACGGCGCGGGCGACATCGGTCGTGAGACAGTCGCGGCGCTCACGTTCGGCGAAGACGGCGCGATTGACGGCGGGTTACGCGGCGCGTTTGGCGGGGCGACATTGCCCTTGATGAAGACACGGCACAACACCAACGCCGCGAGCTCGCTCCCGGCTTCCGCCTCTAGCCGATACTCGTCCATAATCCAGTCCGTCTTAGATCCCTTGTGGTCACTCGGCCCAGATTTCGAATAGTACACTAGCTTCTTCTTCATTCCCGTTACCCCGCCGTCAGAAGAGCCCTTGCCGTTGCTGCTGTTGCTCTTACTCGAGCCGAGGCGCACCGCGTGGTCGTTTCCCGTGGATTTCCAGAATCCGACGACCGTCTCACCGCATTTCACGGAACGTTCTTTCTTCGAGCCGTGCTGCGTCGGACGGTAGAAGAAAAACCACTCGCCGTCGAAGCACGCGTCGGAAGGCAGGCTGCTCGGGTTGCACCGCAAAACGTTTACCTCGGGCAGCTGAAGGAGTGGACGCGCAACGTGGGCCTGCCCGGAAGTGCGGTTTAAGAGGTACGAGAAAACGAGTTCTTCCTCAGACGGTCGAAAACGGTAACCGACTGGGAGGGAGTGTAACAGCGGTGAAGCTGCCATCCTCACACCGAGGTTGAAATCGATACAGCAGAAAAGCTCCCAGCTACGACTTATACCGCACTACAACGTGAGCAACGTTTACCACGCGCTAGTATTATGTGGTTTTCGAAGGCTCAACGTTGAAAGCGGAGATGTCGCTAGTAAAAAGGGTAGCTGAAGTGGATAGGGCAGCAGGCACATTGAGTCAGTTGCATAGGCACGTTGCTCCTGCTTTTAGCTTCCACAAGAGGCAGCAGGCGTGACTGACACTCGTAACTCGTTACAGCTCTCATGTGCGGGGGGGAGGGGGGTGGTAAGCGGGAAGTGGGGGGAAAGGGAATCTGGTGATGGTGGTGAAGTCCATTGCAGGTCACCAGCAGGAGCTTGGAAGGGGGAGCTTGTGTGGTGCTTGTGCTTCGGGCTTCTGGCTTCGGTTCGGACCAAGGGGCTTGTGTGGTGGGCAGGACAGGGCAGAGCAGGGCGTGCCGAGCTCGGGAGAAATCTGCGTGCTGAACAAGTAGCAGAGCAGACAAGTGGTCCGAATTCCGAACCAGAATGAGGCAAATTCGCGTCCATTACCCGAGCATCAGCTGAGTAAGGAACCTAGGTTCGGGTGGAGGGAGCAAGTGAGCAGTGCACAAGTGGACTACAGCTGCAGTCCAGACTCCTCTCCGCAATTCTGCGGTTAACATTAGACAGACGGTTAACAATGCGGTGGGTGTGGGGAGGGATGGCGGGGTGAGGCCCAGGGTGGCTGACGAATCCACTGTGGGGAGGAACGACAAGATTCACTGACTGACCGTCGTCAGCTGTCTGAACCAGTCTTCACAGTTGGCATGCTCTCATTTGAGGACTTGATGCTGTGTGTGGAACCAACGTGTAGGGGGAGCTGTCTCATGCTGACCTCAATTAATTACTGTATGGGGGACATACTTGGCAGATATTCCTCGCAATCTTGGGATAAGCAAAATATCTCTAACCCGCATGCACGATACACCCTGTTGCTCACTCAACCGCCCACTCTGAACATACCCACAGCCATTCCGAACATCCCAGCGCAAATCGGTCGTCGGAACCGATTTGCCAGTGTCGTCAGAGGGGGTCGTCGGAGCCGGGCCCGACGAGGCGGGCAACTGACGCGCGTGCGGACCCGCCAGCCTGGCCCAGGGCCGGGCCGAGCGCACGACCGCCGCCCCGCAACCCCCCTGCGTGATTGAACAGCGTCCGACGTTACCGGGTGGGGGCGGCGAGCTGGCGAGCCCTCGCGCGAGGGAAAGTAACCCTCGCGCGAAGGCAGCCCTCCCGTGCCCGCTGCCCGCGACGTCCTAGTGACCCTCGCGACCTGCCCGGACGGGCAGGCGAGGGCCATGCGAAATTCGGGTGCTCCCCTCGGGAAGCTCGACGATTTCGCGACCCGTTGCGGTGACGCCGCGTGCTCGCACGCGGGTTCGCATCGGGTGCCTGTGGGGCACCGACTCCCTTTCCTTGGCGGAAGGAGGCATCGCTCCTCATTTTCGGCATCTCGTTTCACTTTCAACATTACTCCCACATTCTCGTCCCTTCTTAGCCTGCAGTCAATTCCCTTCAACGCAATGGAGGCCGACCCGAAAGCCGGCGAAGCGGCGCCGACCGTGCAGGACTTCCCTCTGTATCTCGACCTCGGTAGTGGACTCACTGCCAAGCTCGAGGAACACGACTACGCCGTCCTCGTAGACCATAGGCTAGAGTTCAACCCCCGTTGCTTGGGATTCGGCATCAAGTGAGTCTGCGTATGTGGATGTCGGCGTCGACATCTTCTTACATTGCTGGTCGACGCAGCGTCGGTGTTAGGGTTGTCCCACGTCGGAGGCGGCGCTACGAGTTCACGTCGACGCCGACAGTAGGTCGGTGTCGGCACAGGCATTAGGCACGCATCGGTCGGCTCAATTGATTACAACGTCGCGAGGGTGGTGCACCGTCGTACGATTGCCATCCCCGTCGGTCGGCGGTTCCTAAACCAACGTATCCACCGTCGTGTCGTGCACATACTCACTCACTTCTTATTCCCATGCATGCGTGCAGGCACGCATGGACTCGCGCGGCGCCGGCCAACATGCGATTGTGGTCGATAGGACTTGGCCGGCTTCGGGCGGCGATGGGTCGGGCGGCGATGGGTCGGGCGGACCACACGTGCTTTGCGACGGTTTTCGATGCCGACGTAGCGGTTATCCCCTTGACTTCGAGGTGAGCTGGTTAGAAGTCGTCACGATGTGTGTTGCATCCTATGTCGGTGCTCTGTTCTGAACGACGTCGTCGTGCCTTGCCTGTGCAGCATCGCACCGCTTCCAGGAGCACATTGCAGCATCGTTGTCATCCTGTACCCCGGCGACCTGTTGAAGGGTGGGGGGGAGAAGATCAGGACCTCGATCCGGCACTTTGACCCGCAGACCGTGAAGCAGTGGCACCGCGACGAGGCGATCCGCGTGCTGAAGTGAGCTCGATAGTGTAGTCGACGACGCATGCAATTTCGCTGCGCAGCGTAAACCATGCTTACCGACAATCTGTGCCATGTTGCTTCAGGTTTTTCCGGGTGGCGGTCCTGGCCGAGCTTGGGTGCGATGGTAGGAAGTGGGAGTGGGCGAAGCCTTCCGATGAAGAGGTGGAGGACAGGCTCGCCGACTGCGATCAACCCGTTCGAGATGTGAGTTCCGAACGAATCACCGTCCTATAGTGTGTCATCCTTGCGCGATGCGATTGCCGAACGCGGTGCTCATCATTGCGCTCTGAACTGTTGTATGCAGAAAGTGCCCGACGCCGTCCGGGACGGGGACGCGGGCTCCGGCCTGCTAGCAATGAGCGCGTTGTGCTGGGTGGTGAGGAGGATGGATCTCCTGACCGGCGCCCTCCGTCGTAGTGTGACCAGCATGGACAAGGTCAACGTTTCGGGGTTGAAGGGGCTGCGGAATGGGATGATAACATTCGTCAAGGAGCACGTCGCTCTCAAACGGTCGGGCCATGTCGGAGTTGCTGCCGACGCCTGTGACGACGACGGCGAGGAGGCCCCTTTGGCATCCACAGCAATAGGTGTCGCCTACACCGTCGATGATGCGCGTGGGACTTCGATCGGAGAGCCCGGAGGCGGCGTCGACAAGGAAGATGAGGAGGCGGGAAGGGCGGTGACTGGGACCGCGGAGAAGAACCAGGAGGATAACGAGGATCAGGAAGAGGACCATGAGGATCGTGAGGAGGAGGAGGAGGAGGAGGAGGAGGAGGAGGAGGAGGAGGAGGAGGAGGAGGAGGAGGCGGAGGAGGCGGAGAAGCAGCAAGAGGGGGAGCAGGAGGAAGAGGTCGAGTGGGAGTTGGAGGAAATGGAGGTGGAGTACGTAGAGGGAGCGGCGGAAACGGCTGGGAGGTCGGCAGATGTTGTGAACAAGGGAGGGGAGGATGCCGGCGAGGAGAAAGTCGGCGTGGAGGAGGCTCACGGGGGGGGGCAGAAGGTCGTGGTCGGCGATGTGGTTGGCGACGCGAAGGAAGTTATCGACCTCGAGGTCGTTGGAGAAGGGGATAACGCCACGGCCACGAAGCAGACGGGCGTGGAAGCGCCTACCGAGACCACCGCAGGGAAGGCCGGGGGGGAGCTGTCTAGGGTGAAGAAGGCGGCGCGCGGTCATCCCGGTTCCTCCGCATCTGGTCGGCAGGCACCGCTGGACGTCGTCGAGCAGCTGCGACAGGAGAACAGGCGATTGACGGCAAAAAATGCCCGTATGGAGAAGGCGCTCGAAGATGAAAGGGGTCGGGTGGACAGGTTTGTGTTGGGGATGCGGGGACTCCTCGACAAGCTCCAGTCGTTGGCCGACCAGGTCGCCGTCTCCGACCATAATGCGGCGAAACGGCTGCTAGATGCGACGTCGGCCGTGTCGACAACCATCACGGACAACATCACCAACCACATGGACGAATCGTGGAAGGCGATGAAGTCCTTCGCCGAAAAGGCGTCGACGTGGTTGGCGGAAATCGACGGTCCGGAGGGAAGTATGGCAGTTGAACGCGCAAAAGCGGTCGCCGCCTTGGGCAACCACGTGGAAGCGGTGGTGGACGATGCGAAGCTGGGTTTGGAGGACTTCATCTCGAAGCACCTAGCCGCCGCGCAGGCCAACATTGCCGCCGCGGTAACTCGCACCATCGCCGTGCCGCCGCCGCCCCCGCCGCAGCCCACGCCAGCCTTCCCGGACGAGCTCATGAAGTCGTTCAAGGCGGACGTGTTGAAGGCGGTGACGGAGGCCACCCAGCAGTCGTTTGTTGCGTCCGGGTTAAAGCTCATGACCGAGGTGATCGGCAATGTGGCGGCTGGTCGGCGTGCGTCGTCGCCGTCGGCCAATGACGCCGATCCCGCGCAACGAAGGGAGGCCGACAAGCAGGGCCGGAAAAGGGCGGGCGGCGGAGATGATGCAGGGGGCGTGAAGCGGAGCAAGGGAGCCGATGGAGGCCGCGGCGTCGGCGCGGTGGGTCCAGGCGGCTCGCGGACTCGAGGTCAGAGCGTGGTCGACCAGCTCAAGAAGAACGGGGCCAAGGTGATAAGGTCGCACAGCAAGGGCGATGGAATCGGGAGTGCAGATGGGGGCCATGCCGACGAGGTTGCCGCACAAGACGGCGGGAAAGGCTTGAGCGACAAGGAGATCCCAACCGCTCAAACGGCGATAGATGGCGGCGCCAGAACCGTCAAGGGACCGTCTGTCGGGGTCGCGGGGGCCACGTCGATTCCCCGAAAACCCCCTGCGGCTAGCAGCGCGCCGGTCGGCCCGTCAGCCGCCAACAACGATGGGCCGGCCCTTGTGGCTACTCCAGCTGCAGTGGGCCCGTCTGCCGCCAAGGGCGACGCGAAGGATGCTGCGGCTAACCGCGACGGTCCGTCCGCCTCTAAGGTGCCCGCAGCGGCGAACGCGCTCAGGGAAATGCTCCACCGCATCGAGGCCCATCGCAAGGACGTGCAGCAGCCTCCCTTGGTCGATGCCGCCCCCGCCGAAGCAGCACGTCGCACGGTCACTCCGCAGGTCGCCGCCACAACGCCCAGTGCCCCACATACCGCGCCTCTGGTCGCCGCCCATCCAACTGCGGACCCAAAGTCCGCATTGCTTCGCGCTCGGTTAGGCGCACGTAGTGCGGCAGCGCCAGCACAGACTCGGCCGGAAGCCGGCTCAAGCGCGACGCCGACGTCGGTAAACGAGGCGGCGGAGAAGGGCGTGAGGGCAGCGCTAGCCACCGGCGGCGGAGCCGTTGACCATGCACAGGCGTCGATAGGCCACAACGACGCCGACATCGCTGCCAACCAGAACCTGTTGGAATCGGTAAAACGCCCCGGGCACCCTGCTGCTCTGGCCATCTCGGACACGGCACATGTGGAGCCCTCTGGCGAATCCCCCCGCTGGTTCAGCGGAGCCAAAGACGACCACTGATGCTGTCGGCGATGGAGAGTCGAAACGGAAGGGGAAGGCCGACACAGTGAAAGGGAGGGCGAGCTCTCAGAGGAAAACACGGGCGATGTCGGCCGAGACAGGGAGGGATAAGGCGAAGGAGAAGTCGGTGGAGAAAGGGAAGGAGAAGGAGAAGGCGGAGAAGGAGAAGGAGGAGAAGGAGAAGGAGAAGGAGAAGGAGAAGGCGGCGGAGAAGGAGAAGGAGAAGGAGAAGGAGAAGGAGAAGGAGAAGGAGAAGGAGAAGGAGAAGGAGGAGAAGGAGAAGGAGAAGGAGAAGGAGGAGAAGGAGAAGGAGAAGGAGAAAGGACGGAAGGGTCATGGCATCCGCCACGACAACTCGGGCGACGGTCTTAGGTGGGTGGGCGAGATTAAGGTGCTCGGCGCTAATCGATACATCGGCAAATCGCGCGAGAAGATGGAGCTGGCGTACTTGCACTCGATTGCGTACATCGTCTACGACGGCTACGTCAGCAAGGTCCTCATGGCCGAGCTCACCGGCTTGGAGGAAACCGAGTTGGAGAAGTGGAGGATGGTGTGGGAGGAGGTCAAGATTTTGCCGACAGGGATGTGGACGGTGATATGGGCACGGGGCGCGTACCTTCCAAGAACACGGTAAGTCGGATACCCTTTCGGCCGAGTGTTGATGACGATGTCGGAGTCACTAATGGTCGCTCTGTTTCATGTGATTGTGTGACAGGTTCGATGACATTCTCGGCCAGTATCGAGCGTACAAGAGCTCAGGCGATGCGCACCACGACGCGCTCTTGCCGGCGATCTGGTTCCCCGTCGATGCCGTCACAAAGGAAGGCCAGGAGAAGTCGGATGCTATGATGTCGGCCATGATAGGTCGCGTGTCCATGTGCGCTGCGTATGGGAAGGTCGCTGCGAGCGCGGCGAGGAAGGAGGGAGACACTGATGAGAAAACGGCGATGGTGGCACAGGTGTTATCGGCCTCCGCTTGCGCCGTGTGGTGCTTAGTCGAGAACGACGACGCCCAGGTGGTCGATGCTGTGGGCGAAGGGAAGGCGGCGGCGATGGTGGTCGGTGCGAGCGAGAAGACCGCCGGTGTCTTCAAGGAGGTCATGCAGGCGGTGCTGGAGGCCGAGATCGACCGGGAGCAACCCCTGGGGGAGGTTGCGCACAACGTCGCGCCGGCGCTGCAGAGTCTCGCTCTGCACCGGGTCTACCCGGGGGTGGATCATGAAGTCGAAGCCGACGTGATTGCTAGAGCGACAGTGGAGACATTGGCGTTCTGGGGAATGTGCCCCGTCGCCGGGCCGAAACTCGAAAAGATCGGCATCACGGTGCCGTGTGACGCGCAGATGGAGTACGACATTGAACACATGGGGAGGAAGGGGCAGAGAGGCAAGCAGGGCAAGGACAGCACGGGGAAGAAGGGGAAGAAGGGCAAGAAGGGCAAGGACAGCACGGCGGCGTAGTCGGCGCGCGGAGGGAGCGCGAGGTGGTCTGATTGCTAGTGTGTTTGTAACCTTTTTAGTGTTTGTAACTTTTTTGTTTGTGTTTGCTTATGTGGTAGCGCATGTAACTTTTTGGTAGTGCATGACATGTAGAACCCTCGTCGGAGATGTCGACCTGATCGCTACCCTCTGAATTGCACACTCAAATGCTACTCGGGGATGAATTTTTGTCGGCGTATATGTCGGAGTCCGAAAATACGTCGGCGTCGTTGGATGTCTGTCGACATAGAGGGTTTGGCTGTCTGCAAGTATTTTCGGGGTGTTTGTTGGTCGGCAACCGACTGCAGTTACCATTGTTGGATCATCTAGGTTCGCATGGGCATTGTTGTATGACTATCGTTTACCAACTTCATGAACAAAATAAGCATCATGGTTTGGTACAATCGACCACAATTACAGCATCATCAAACTACGCGCACGCATATGCTCCGAAGGTACTCATGCCGCCTTCTTGCGCTTCGTCGGAGGACGCAGCACAGGTGCGGTCTGCTTGGCCATGTCCGCCACGGTCTTCGGCTTCTGCTCCTCCCAGGTGTCTGGAAACAGGACGGCGACCCAAGCGGTCGGCTTCAAGTTGACCGCCACCAGCGCACAGGCGAGACGTAGCTTCGAGACCGACTTGGGGCCCAGCCCCTGGACGCCCATGCCGGGCTCCTTGGACTTCGTCGGTGCGGTTCCCGGTTTGAGCACCGTGAGGGCATCGCAGAAGGTCCCGATGCCCGGCGCCGCGATCTTGTTCAGGGCAGCGATGACGGCTTCGGTGTCGGCATCGCCGTCGCTCGAGCGAAGAAGGCGCACCGCATCCATGGCCTTCAGCATGCGGCGCACCTTCATGTCGTGTGCACCCTGCGTCGCGCCTTTGAGGAGGGTGTGGCGGTCGACGAATCCCGGCTCGGCGACCCTATCGCAAAGACGGCGGGTGTCATCGGCGGTGGCGGAGTTCCAGAGGCGCCAAGCGTCCCTCACGGTCTTTGACTCCCGCCAAGGTTGCACCACGTTGAGCTCGTAACGAGCCTCGTCGAGCGTCTGTGGGGGTTTCTCGTACCGTTTCTTGTTTCTGGCCCCCGGACTGGCCGAATCCGCGGAGCCACTCTCGCTCGGCGTCTGCTCGTTCCCCGACGGCGGCGTCTCCGGCATCCTCCGTGCGTCTGACACACGGAGTGCCTCGGTGAGACGGGTTATCTCGGCGGTCAGCGTCGCGATGGTATCGTCGCGCTTCTCGAGTTCATCCTGAAGGTCGATCTTCTCGACCGCGGCGCGCTCCCTCTCGTACTTCAGCGTCTCCTTGAGGGACATGTTATGGTATTCGGTGTCCAAGCAAACGGAGATTTCCTGCAGCACAAGGCGGAAAGGCGAAAATTGTTTAGAATACACCCGTAGCAGATAGGGTCCCGGCGACGCCGACTTTAGCGACGGTTTACCTCTGCCTGAATGAGGGTTGGGTCCCGGCGTTTGTTGATCGTTTCGGTGTCGATCTTCTCGACCCTTTTCGCCCAGTGCTGAAAGAGGGCGAACCGGCAGAGCTTCGAACCTTGGACGTACGGGTGCCAAGGGGTGCGGACGAGCTTCACCGCGAGGTCCTCGGCGACGATGCGGCGCATCATCTGGAGGGTACGCCAGAAGTGCACGGCGGCTTTGTCGGCGTCGCTCCCTTTGGCAGCTCGCGTTTCCGCCTGCACATCGGCACGTGATGTGGGTTAGTAAGGCGATGGGCAGCCAACGAAGCAATGGCGATGATGTCGGACATTGTCGGCGTCTATTGACATACATCGCGCAGCAGAGCATCCACGCCGGGGAAGATGTGCTCGGCGATGATGTCCAATAGTTTGTTGGAGGGCTCGACCCTGCTGCGACCCAAGAAGTAGTCTTGCTTGCAACCCGAGTAGCCGGCCTTCTTCATCACCACCCCAACGGGAATGGCTGTGATGTAAGCACGCGTCATCTTGTCGAGTGCCCAGTGACCCAGCTCGGCGATCTCGGCGCGAGGCGTCCCTTCAATGGCTAGCTCCTGCGCACCTCCGGCGCGAGCTGGGTGCACGTTCTGCTTGCAGAACACCTTGTTGGTCGTCCACAACTGCCGCGTTCAACGTTGGTGGCTGGAGGCGGAGAGCTCTTTTTGCTCCTTGTCGTTGCGGGCGAAGAAGAGGTGCTTCTTGTACCAGCGCTCGCGTTCGGTGGTGTCAAGCGGCGGAAGGAAGTCGACGCCGTTGAACTGACCGATCTGGTCGAGGATGAAGTGCAACCATAGGCCGGTCTCGCCGACGGCGCACAACTCCGCTTCCAGGTGTCGCGCCGCGTAGCTCTGCTGAAGACGGGCATCCCTGGAAGTCTTCGAGTTCCGCGCGGCGATCACCATGACGACCGGCTGGTTCTCCGGGTTCACCGACGAGGTGCTAGCCAGTCGGTACAAGAAGATGTCGGGGAGCGTGATCTCGCGGATGCTGGCGCCTCGCAGGAGAGTGTGGTGGGAGAGTAGCGTGAGCGCCTTGGTGAGCAGAAATCGCCACAGCGTCTGCGAAGGAGCGGTTGCCCGCGGGTTCCACGCCGACGCCGCCCATGTCGGCAGCACCTTCATCATGATCTGGCGGAACTGTTCATGACCAGCACGTCGATGCTTGCGTAAACCATGTCGTCCTCGACGAATTCTGCTGCTCTCCACTGTTCGCGTGGCACCGCCATGTTCTGCTCGTCCTCGTCCTCGTCCTGTTCTAGCATGTCATCTATGTATTCAAGTTCCCGCCGGAGGCGTTCTTCCAAGGTGCGCGGATTCGTGCTACGCGGAGGACGCTCGTCGTATTCGTCGTCGCTCTCCTCCTCCTCCTCCTCCTCCTCCTCCTCCTCCTCCTCCTCCTCCTCCTCCTCCTCCTCCTCCTCCTCCTCCTCCTCCTCCTCATCAACCTGGTTTCCTGAGCCGCCCGGTACCGACGAAGGTCCAGGCTGCCCATCTTGCGTCGGTGTGGACTTACTAGCTGGCTTGGTAAACTCTCCTATCGGCGGTGGGGGAATGTCCTTGGTGAACTCCCCTTCTGGAATCTGTGTCAGTGCGTCAAGATCGTAGAGTAACTTGAGCGTCTCTTCGGGGGTAGAGGTCTCAATGTGGTCGGTTGGGGGACCAACGTCGGGCATGTCGACGTCTGCCATGAGGCCGCTCGTAGTTTGCTATACCGTCGACCGTGTTCGAGGTAAGGGATGGACCACCAGAGACGGTACTGAGTCGCGGGTGCGGTGTACACCCGATGAGTTGCTCAGGCGTCTTCGTCGGATTCTCTCTCAAGTGCTTCTAACTCAGCGGCGAGCTCGAGGCTTTCCAGCTGTGCTTTGATGTCGGCGTCTACAGAGTCGGCAGGGGGTGGGATGGGTTGCGGCTATTGGGCTCTAGGCCGTGCTCTGGCCATGCGTCGCCGACCTAGTTAGTTGTGATCGGTTACCTAAACACGCTACCGGTGCCGACGTGATCGATTGGTCGGCGCACGAGTAACCCACACTCGCGAAGATAGCTAGGGAGAGGAAAATTCAAAGTGCAAGAGAGAGCAGGAAGGAACGCAGGAACGCACAATGGAATGAGCACCAGCGCAAGGTCACGGAGGGGTATGGTCGTGAGCGACTCCCGATTTTGCCGCGCTTCACGCAACCCCCTATGCTTGTGCCGCTATGCATGTGTTCTCGTGCGGCGGCGCAGTGTCCGACGTGCCACGAGCCATGCATGGCTAATGGGTCGCCGCGCTGCACTCACGGGGCGTAAGTCTGGGCACGTCTACGGTGGTATGTGCTTGCGTTACGTGGCGTGGGCCCATCATTGGTCACATGCCGACTTCCATGGCCTAAGGGCACGGAGTTATTGAAGAGCCACGTGGCAAGCCCACCGTGAGCCCTCGTGGTCGACGCCGACTTTCGTGGTCCGGACAATCCCGTTGGATCCTTAGTCGACACCGACATGGCGAGCAGCTCGCGATGCCAGACAACTGTAACATTTTTGGACGGACAGATCTTCGCCGCGTGGATCGGCCACCGACAAATTTGGGCGCGCAGTGGAGTTCCCGCGCTGAAATCGCGGCTCGACGTGTCGTGCTGTGAGTTTTTGTCCGCTGAGATGTCCTTCTCGGGTTTCTCTCAGCGAAACCCGAGGTCGTCAGATCGTCGACAATCCCGAAGGCCCAGAGGTCTGCCATTTCGCCCCAGTCTGCCACTCGGAGTCGTCGGGAGTTCGTCAATCCCGAGGAGGGCCGTTGTCCTATCGCAACCGCGAAATTGGGCGGCAGTTTTCGTCGGCTGAGGTATATCCTCCCATACGCCCAATGGTCGACATTCACAGCCAACGGCCCGCTCGTTACTAGCCCACGACAAAACCAGGGTATTCGAGTTTCCCAGACAAAACACGCTGGGCTACCCACAATTATAGCGACTGTTCTACATTCAGTCCCATTTTGCCCCTAGCGGGCACGTGCTCGAGATAGGAGCACAGGGAAAGATGGGGAACGGGACTGAAATAGGCATCAGGTGTATGACAGCACAGAGCGCGTGGCTTCAAGGGTGTTGCTACAAGGACAAATGCCCAAAAAAGGCCTAACATTTCCAGCCAGCTTGCGCATAACATAGGCATTTTAGGGTGTTGGAAACGCCACCCAAAAATCTGACCATTTGGTTGGGGCATGCGAATGCGAAGGGAGTAACACGATGGCGAGGGATGCGAGACTTTCCCGCCAAATGACCACGATAACGACCAAATTGGCAAACGCCCAAACCAGGTGACCGTACGTGCGACCAGTTTGGTCACGAAAACATCCCCGCCGTCATAGTCACCCACAGAAATCAAATGAGGTACACCCACAGATTAGCATTACTTGGTATTCCCCGAATTTTGTCGCGAAGGCCTCAGAGGATGCTAAACACCTCTTTTCGTGACCCGTATAAAACACCCCGTTCGAATGTTGAAATTTTGAAAAGACCTCTAAATTCTAATTACGGGGGTACGCAAGGGTGTGTGCCCGTAAATCGACCACGCAACAACCGTGGTCATTGTAAATCTAAAGAAAACGCCCCAGGTGCTTGTTACCACTTCCCTCGTAAATCTCAGGACCGTGGCGGGGGTGGATTTTCTTGACCCCTGGTTCTCCAAGAGCCTCGAGCAACTGCCAGAGGCTGTACGCCGAGAGATGCCGAGCCTGCCTATCTGCGTCGCTGCCCCCCCCCCCCCCCCCCCCCCCCCCCCCCGTTCGTCTCTTCCAGGTGCGGCTGCTTCAGTTGGCCGTGGAGGAACTTCAGGCGGTGCGCCGATTGGCCCGTGACGATTCCACCCTGGCCCGTGTCAGGTCTTCACCTCCCCTCGTTATCACCCCCTTGCTGTCAGGTCTTCACCTCCCCTCGTTATCACCCTCTTGCTCGTGTTGCCTCCTGTCGCACCAGACTCTTCTGTGGCACCACCGCCTGGGTCACCCCTCCCTGCCATGCCTTCGTGGCATGCACTCCCGTCTCCTTGTCTCTGGTCTTCCTAGGTCTCTGCCTCCCCTCCCGCCCTTGCCTGCCCCGCCCTGTCTTCCTTGCGTCGAGGGGCGGCAGCACGCCGCTCCTCACTCCTCCTTGTTTCCCTTGATGTCTGCTCCCCTGCAGACTCTCCACATGGACGTATGGGCCCAGCCCGCGTCAGTGGACAGGGCCGCGAGCGCTACTTTTTGCTGGTTGTTGACGACTACACGCGGTACACCACGGTCTTCCCCATTGCGCAGCAAGTGTCAGGTCATTGATGTCTTGATCCCTTGGATCCACGCAGTCCGTCTCCAGCTCCGCGAGCGGTTCCGTGCGGACCTTCCTGTCCTGCGTCTGCACTCTGACAGAGGTGGTGAGTTCTCCTCCGACCTCTTGCGGGACTTTTGTCGTGGGGAGGGCATTCTCCACTCGTTCACGCTTCTGGACTCCCCTCAGCAAAATGGGATTGCTGAGCGCCGCATTGGCTTAGTCATGGAAGTCGCTCATACCTCCATGATCCATGCGGCTGCTCCCCATATTCTTTGGCCATTTGCGGTCCGGTACGCTGCGCATCAGCTCAACCTCTGGCCCCGTGTCTTCTTCCCGGAGACCTTGCCTACACTGCGTTGGACGGGGAAGGTTGGCGATGCGTCGGTGTTCCGCGTCTGGGGTTCTCGTGCCTTTGTTCGCGATACGTCCGCGGACAAGCTCTCCGCCCGCGCTATTCCCTACGTCTTCCTTGGCTTTACCCGTGACGCGCCCGGCTGGCATTTTTACCACCCCACCTTGCGCCGTGTCTTCCCCTCTCAGGACGTATCGTTTGACGAGTAGGTTCCCTTTTATCGTCTCTTTCCCTACCGCTCTGCCCCTCTCCCGCCCCCGCCGCTCTTCCTTGCTCCAGGTCCCCCTCCGGTAGACCCCCTCCCCCCCCAGGGTCCTGCTCCCTCAGGTGTGTCTCAGGTAGACCCTCTCCCTAGTACTGCGCCTGTTCAGGTAGCTGTCGGCTCAGGTGCTACTAGAGGTGCTGACTCAGCTACGCAGCGGTCGTCACAGGGTTACACCTTCAGCCTTGGCTCCGGCTCTGTTTCTTGGCGGTCTACCCGCTCGTCTTCGGTTCTCAGCTCCAGTTGTGAGGCTGAGATCTACGCCGGGGCCATGGCTGCTCAGGAGCTACACTGGCTCACCTACTTGCTGACCGACTTGGGAAAGCAGCCTCGTTCGCCTGTAGTCCTGTACGTAGACAACAAGGCCATGATTGCCTTGTGTCAGGAGCACAGACTGGAGCACAGAACGAAGCACATCGCTCTGCGATACTTCCTTGCTCGAGAGTTGCAGCAGCGTGGTCAGCTTCGTCTTGCGTACGTGGCCACTCGGGCCAACACTACTGATGTCTTCACCAAGGCACTTCCGCCTGGTGATCATCAGCGCTTTGCTACTGTGTTAGGCCTTGTGCCCACTTTGCCTCACTTGCTCACTGCTTGACTCTGCTTGTACTATGATCTCTATATATACCTGCATGCTTGCACTTGCTAGGATATGGCCACTGTATTGTTTGTTCTCTTTATATAACTCTGCATGTGAACGGGCCTTGTGACCCTTTGCTTGAATTTGTCGATTGTTCCATTGGCTTTGGTTTTCACGCGGAAAACCCATTTTCCGGTGAGGATGGTCTTGTTGCGCGCCAGTTCGATAGGTACGACTTTCCAGGTGTTGCGTTCTTGCAGCGCCTTTAACTCTCTGTCCATGGCCTCGCGCCATTTTGCCTGTGTTCCCCCCCCAAGAGCCTGCTGAATGGTGGCAGGCTCCTTAGGTGGTGCTGCTCTGTGGACAGCGGCGACTAGTCCAGTATCTGCAGGCCACTTTGCGTGTAGCGGGGAAGATTTATGTCCTCTGGATAAGCTCTTCGTCTCCTGCTTCAGGGTCTGGTCAGAAATTTGGGCCTATGCGTTCGCAGATGTTGGTGTCGACCGGTTGGGGTGTAACGTAACCGGTGTCAGCGAAGTCGAAGTAAGTTTCGACGTTGACACTTTTGCGAGGATTTTCGTCATCCATCGGGATGGGCACTTAGCAGTATGGGAGTGGTCCTGCTTCCTCGGATGCGTTGTCCACGTTTTGCTCATCCCAGTCAGCTTCGTCTGCTGCTGAAGCGAAGGCTCGGTTGCCACGGAAGCCGCCCGTGAGGTCGCGATTTGCTTCCAGGTTGTCCAGGTACGTTTGAAGTGTGAGTCGCTCGTAGAAGATGACATCACGTGCTGCTACTGTTTCCTTCGAGTGGACGTCAAAAATTTTCCATGCGTTGTAATGCTTTTCGATGCCCAGGTGTAGTCCCCACTGTGCGCGTTGAGAAAATCTTCCGGCTCTTGCATTGTGCGGGCGGTACTGTACCATGCACCCGAAAACTCGTAACATTTTTGTGTTGCTCAGTTTTCATGTCCACAGCAGGTGCGGTGATGCGTTGTTCAGGAGTGATGATGACGAGAGCAAGTTGTGCAGCATGACAGCGTGGTCCATCGCCTCAAGCCACTGGTGATTGGGTAGTCGCATGCCACGCAGCAATTTACGCATGGTGTTCTGGAGAGTTCTGTTAACCGTTCTGCCATGCCTTGCTGTTGATGGGCGTAGGGAAGCGAGGTGAGTCGCTTGATGCCTCGTTCGGCGAGGTACTACTTGAATCTTTG